ATGTAATCAATCTGATTCCTATGCATGTCATCAGGTGAAATCCAAGTGTATAACCTGTGTTTATGTCTCTTAAAGGATGTATTTGCTGTGAATAAGTCATTGATTGTGCAAAAGTCAATCATTCTCTCTCCAGCTCCATTTCTGTCACTGATCCATGTTTTACAACATTGATAAAGCAAAGATGTAGGGTGTGAATTTCTAGGCTAACCACTGTAAGAATAGTAAGAATGTAAAACTTCTACATCTACAGAGCAAAAAAGTTACATTTAAAAAAAGTTTCTCAGTTCATCAAAAAGAATCCAGGAAAAGATATAGTGAAAAAAGGAACAACACAAAACAAGTGGGAAAAATAGGAAGAAGTCCGTATAAAGAAGATTTAAATCCAAATATATCAAACAGATATATCAAATGAGATAGAATAATCTGCTGAAAGACCAAGATAGTCAACCATTATTTAAAAAGAAAAGCTTGTTTGCAAGAGACAAATCTAGGATACAAGGCTAGACAAAGTTTAAAATTGACAGATAGATTGGCTCTACAGATACTAATCAATAGAAAGTAGATGTTGGTATTACATTGGTTAAAATAGACTTTAGAGGGAAAAGTGCAAGAAGTAAATATTCAGTTCTTGATAAATGATTCATTCATAGTAAGATTAACTTGTTGTTTGCCATCAAGTTGGACTCAGCCCATAGCTGAAAACAGCAGGTTTTCAGGGGCAGTAAATCACACAGATTTAGGTTGGGAGGGAGACTCATCCATAACCTGCATTAGGCAGATGACACAACCTTACTTGCTGAAAGTGAGGAGGACTTGAAACACTTGTTGCAGAAAATCAAGGAATGTAGCCTCCAGTGTGGATTGCATCTCAATGTCAAGAAGACAAAGATTCTTACCACTGGGCCGATAGGCAGCATCATGATGGATGAAGAGGAGATGGAAACTGTCAACAGCTTCATCTTGCTTGGATCCATAATTAACACCCTTGGTACCAGCAGTCAGGAAGTAAGGAGATGCAGTGTACTGGGAAAATCTTCAGATAGGGACATCTCCAAATTATTGAGGAGCAATGATGTCAGTTTGAGGACTAAGGTATATCTGATTCAGGCCATAGTCTTCCCGATAACTTGCTGTGCATCTGAGAGCTGGACAGTGAATAAGAATGACAGGAAAAGAATTGACACTTTTGAGCTGTGGTGTTAGAACAGAGCACTGAACAGTCCATGGATGGCAAAGAGAACAAACAGGTATGTCTTGAAGATGATGCAGCCAGACTGTGCTTTGGAGGCAGGAATGATGCTTCACCTCATACACTTTGGGCATGCTGCTAGGTGGTGTTATTCCTTGTGATGCTGGGAAGGATGGAGGGTCAGTGAAGGAGAGAAAGATCCTAAACCAGGTAAATTGATACAGTGACTACTGCAGTGGGCTCTTGTGTGTCAGGAAGTGTGAGGATGACACATGATAGGACAGGGTTCAGATCTTTCGTTCATAGGGTTGCTGTGAATTGTTCTTGACTGGACAGCACCTAACAACAAATCACACAGGACATCCTTCTCCTATAAAACAGGAGGTGGTGGGTTTGAACCACCTGCTTTTGGATTACAGTACAGCTGGAGTTCTGGTGTTTGCACCTTTTAACATGTCTTCAAATAATGTATTTTAACATGTCTTCAAATAATATAAAGCACATATTGTTAGAATTGTGAAGAGAGACTTTGTGTTGCAGTGATTCAAATACAGTAAGATCTACAAGTCAACAAGAAAAAGACAACTAAATAGAAAATAAAGAGGTAAACTGGAATCTAAAGGATGAAATCCAAAAGGCTACTAAATAAGAACCTTCAGTGTGTTACCTATCAGGCTACTAACTGAAAGATTGCCAGTTCATGTCCACCAGCTGTTCAGTGGGAAAAAGATAGGCAGGCTCCTCCCATAAAAATTTAAGCCTTAGATACATGACCGAGGGCCATCATGAGTCCTAATCAACTTGAAAGTCGTGGTGGTGGTGGTGGTAGTGAAGTTCTGTCAAGTTGCTTAAGACTCACAGCAACCTTATGTACAACAGCTCTGAACCCTGCTCTATCCTTTGCCAACCTCTGTCTCCAATACACTCACCCCTATTACCCCAGTCACTGAGTCAATTCTTCTCACTCAGAGCCTTCCCCTCCTACGCTGTCCCTCCACACTCACAAACATGATGTCCCTCTCCAAGGACTGGCCCCTCCTTACAATATGTCCAAAATATGTCAGATGGAGCTTCAAGGAGCAGCCTTGGTTTCACACCCTCCAGAACGAACCCATTTGTTCTCCATCAATCCTTGGTATATTCAGTATTAATATATGAAAAGTTTCTCAACCATATTATCAGGGAAATGCAAAGTAAACTGACCCATGATAACTACATGTATAAAGTAGAACTGTTCCATAGGGTTTTCAAAGCTATGACTTTTAGAAGCAAATCAAGTGGATTTGTCTTCCCAGGTGCCTCTAGGTGGGTTCAGATCACTAACCCCTCAGCTAGTAGTCATGCACTTAGCCATTTGCATCATTCAAGGATATTACTAACAAGCCAAAAAGTAATTACTTATACACCAGGTTAAATGTACAAGAGTGTTTGCAGCAACCTTTCTGGCAGTAGCCCCAAATTGAAAAACCCTAAATGGCAGTCAACAGTAACATGAGTAAATAAGTTGGTATCTAATCATACAGTGGAATACTGTAATACAATAAAAAATTTAACAGTATAGAACCGCATGGATGAATCTCCAAAACAGCAATGTTGAACAAAAGAAGCCAGACAAAAAGTCTGTGTCTGGGATGATTTCACTTAAATTTGATTCAAAGAAAACCAGACTCGACTTGATTATTTAGGGATTTGTATTTAGGTGGTAAAACACAGCAAGGATTGCAGTTAGCAGAGTCAGAGTTATTGTTGAGAAGAGACACCCAGGATGACTTTGAGGGGTGCTGACAGGTTCTGATTTTCACTGTGGGTGGTGGTTACATGAGTGTTTGCTTTATAATGATTCATTTACCCATTATGTCTATTCTTTGTGTTTTTCTAGGTGCATGTTATATTTTGCAATGAAATGTTTGAAACATTGCATTTACTTTTAGGGTTCAGCCTGGTTTATGGCTCACCAGTTAGTAGGTTCAGGGTTCACCCCAGATGGTCATGCTTGCTGACGATGAATGAGCATTAATTAGTTCAGGGTCTTGATGACTTGAGCCTCTGCTTAGTCATAAGAAGCTGAGAACGTCTTGCTCAGAAGAGACAGTACAGATGCACAAATCTGTGTGTTCACTTTATAGTAGACACATCTCTTGAGTTAGTTTAAATCTGTATGGCACCTGTGTATGAGGAAATCACACTGCAGATATCATGTACTCTCTGAAGCTTTCTGTCTACGTCACACTGGTTCATCTGTTATTCAGGAACCAGCAAAAGTGGCAATTGATATTTTCAGTCAAGGTCCCTGTGCTACAAAATGCTTTTTTTAAAAAAAAATTTACAGTTGTTACTGTTTTTGTGTGCTGCCAAGCCAGACCTGACCTATAGCTGACCCTCCAGCAGGTTTTCAGAGGCAGTAAATTGCACAGGAGGACATTGCCCATCCTTCTTACAAAATGACTGGTGGATTCGAACTGTGTGCCTTTGGAATTGCAGCCCAGCTTCTTGCCACTGGGCCAGTAGAGTAAAACTTGTTTAATTTACAGCAGAAACCTGTCCAAGAAGGAAAACTATGTTTTCTGTTGTGTAGAGAGTGATGGAAAGAAGATGTGTGCACCAAGTCAGCAGCCAAAAAAGCAAGGCAGTCCTGTTGAGTTCTGGCTCTCACGGGTCTCATATACAAAGCATGTTGGGGAGGTTTGCTCTTTTCTTCTTTCTCTCCATTTGTGGACACTGTGTCTGCCCAGTTTTCAGAGCACTGACTTGTTACCTCACAAGTTGTTTTTACAGTGTGGCCCTGTGTAGAGTATGGGGGATTGCCTGTAGGGAAGGCACTTTAGGAAACCTTAGACTAGTCCAAGTTGCCTGTGGGCATGCAGTTTCCGTTGAGGTTAGGTTGTCTCTTCAGAAAGGCTACTTCTTCCTTTCCTCATCAGAAGGTCCTTTTCTCATGGCATTGTTTTTTTCCAGATTTCCGTTGAGGAGCTGGAGCGGAATCTAGTGATCAAAGTCAACAAGGATGCTGTCATGAAAATAGCAGTGGCCGGGGATCTGTTTCAGCTGGACAGAGGATTGTATCATTTGAACCTCACAGTGGGAGGCATTCCCTTTAAAGATAAAGACCTCGTGCAGCCCGTAAGTACTGTCATCAATCACTGGGCTGAGAACACAGCGTGCGGCATGTTTGACAGCTCAGAACCCATGTAAGGACAAGATTTAGCCATGAGCTGACATATGTTTGGCATTAATCAAGCTTGGCGAAGGACTGTGAGGAAGGCAAAAGTTACCTCAAATTAGCAAACAGAACTCTACCATTAATTATGTGAGTTGCTTCTCGCATTTCTTATTATGAAACTTGGTTGTGTTTGCATCTGAACTCAGTAAAAATGTCTATTTTGCAGCAGGGATAAACACAATTAAATTACTCTTTAAAAGTAAGATTAGCTTTCTTTTTTGGATGCTCCCTGAGAATGTTTTGGGATTTTAGACATGTCAAAATTTCCACAAGAGGAGAAAAGGCCTTAATGGGGAAGCTGGTATTGGTCATTTTTTAGCATCTTTCTTTTCCTCACCCCTTCCTCACACCACATACCTTTTTATGCCCCCTGCATGCTGATGTATGTAGAAGGCTAGAATCCTTGATACTGTGGTTAAAATTTCCACAGTAAATATTAGAAATAAAATTTATGAGGACCTTTAGGCATTGAATTGTGGCCATTCTTAGTACTTCCTTCTCTTCAAAGGAGTATGGAAGGGATTATCTGACATACTACCTATAGGACAGACTTATGGGTTTTTTTTCCAGTCTGTTGGGTACTGTTTCTACTTCTCATGCTTAATCATCTCAGACAAGGGCTAAAGTGACCTGATTTGGGAAAAAACCTATAGTAAGTATGTTATAAAGCCGGAATCAGCAGTCACAGCCCCTGAATTCAGAGTTTCCATATCTTTAGTGAGTAAGATTGCATAAGTGTCACCTCTTTCCATATCTTTTCAGATAAGTATTGGGTACATTTTAATCTTTGTTATATAAATAGGGGGAAATACAAACAGAAGGTAGGTTTGTGATATACCATCTTTAACACACATGCTTGCTACATGTAATACACTTGACATTCAAAAGTATTGTCTAGGTTTGCTTAAAAAGTTGAAGATGTAAATACCATTTGATCCAGCTATTCCACTATTAGGTATAAATCTTAAAGAATTAAGAGCTGTGACACAAACAGATATAGGCATGTTTATTGTAGCATTAAACAAGTGAATGACTAAGGTGCGCCTGACACAGGCCATGGTCTTTGCAATCACTTGTTATGCGTCAGAGAGTTGGACAGTGACTATGGAGGATAGAAGGAGAATTGATGCCTTTGAGCTGTGGTGCTGGAGAAGAGTATTGAGTGTGTACCATGGACTGCTAAGAAAACAAACAGGTTCATCCTGGAGAGGGTTAAACTGGGCTGCTCCTTGGAGGCAAGAATTCTGAGTTGTCTGACATACCTTGGACATGTTGCAAGGAGGGACCAATCCTGGAGAGGGACATCATGTCTGGGAGGGTGGAGGGACAGCACAGGAGGAGAAGAACCTCTATGAGGTGATTGATTCAATGACCGGGGTAGTCGAGGTGGAGGTCAGAGACAGTGAGATTAGCACAGAACAGAGCAGGGGTTAGGGCTGTTGTACATAGGGTTGCTTTGAGTCACTGGCGACTCGACAGCACATAACAACAACAATTGTATCACTGTTCACAATAGCAAAGAGGTAGAAATAACCCAAGTGCCCATCAATGAACTAATGAGTAGAGAAACTATATTACATTTGCACAGTGGAGTACTATGCAGCATTGAAAAACAATGACAAATTCAGGAAATATTATATAGCATGGGTGAATCTGCAAGACATATGCTAAGTAAAATAAGTCACAAAAGGACAGATATTGTATAAAGCCATTATTATATAAAAGCTAAAGAAGGTTTACACAATAATCCTTACAATTGGATACTATGCAGGAAGAAGAGGAGTAAAAACTTTTTTCAAAGATAATAAACATTTAAGATGAGTGAAAGGAAATATACAATGAATGGACAGTCATGTATTGTGAGTATTGTAATTAATATTACAGAATAAAATATGCTTGAATGATTGTAAAAACAATATCTTTTGTAAACTTTTACTCAAATCACAATGAAAAACCAAGTATCCTGCAGGAAACCACTTTATAAAATTAAGAACTCTTTTGTGAAGCAAGTAACTAGCCGCACAGTAGGATTTATTAATTTTTATGAAAGGAGATGTCCCCATGTCGGATGGGAGGTGAGAGTACCCTGTCCCAGGTGTGGTTGAGGACTCTCACTTGTTCAAGGGCATTATCTGGCATCTTGCCAGAATAGCTAGAAGCACCTGCAGTTATTAGTAAGCTGTTGGATTTTCTCTCTTTCCAGATAAACCCTCGCCTGGATGGTTGTATGAGAAGCTGGAACTGGTTGAATGGTGAAGACACTACCATCCAAGAGACCGTAAAAGTGAATACTAAAATGCAGTGCTTCTCTGAAGCAGAAAAAGGGTCTTTCTTCCCCGGGAATGGATTTGCCTTCTATAGTCTCGATTATAGTAAGTCTTGTTTCTTTAAGTGGAGATGGTTATGGTTGCACATTTAGCCAATTATATATATATTAAAAATAATAATAACAAAACTATAGCATACTTTGGTAAGAGTCAGGAGTAACTTGTGCTGCGGGGGCAGCACACAGCAGAGGTGAAGACAGAGACTGTCAAGATGGCAGCACACTGAGTTTCTAAGCCAGTGGTATGGAAATAACTCTCACCACTGGGCCAGTTGGCAGCACCATGACAGAGAAGAGATTGAGGTTGACTATACCATGGACCACCAAGAGAACAAACAGGTGTCTGTCTTGGAGAAAGTAAAACCAAGTTTCTCTTTGGAGGTAAGGATTTTGAAGTTCCATCTCACATACTTGGGCACGAGGCCAGGAGGGACCACTCCTTGGAGAAGGACATCATTCTTGAAAGGGTGGAGGGCCAGCGCAGGAAAGGAAGACCTTGGGTGAAATGGATTGACAGAGTCACTGAGTTAATTAGTGTAGGAGTGTCGGAATCATTGAGACTGGCTCACGATAGGACAGGGTTCAGGGCTACTATACATAGGGTCACAAAGAGTCATAGGTGACTTGATGGCACATTACAACAACAATATAGAAATGAAAGGAACTTTGAGAGAAGATAGTTAGCTACATTGGTGACTAGGCTGACCCATGCTAGGTAGGATATTAAGACTTTAAAAAGGTACTGTGCAAAAAAATTCTGAGACAAGACAATCTTGAGATTTGTCTAAGTGAGTTGAGAACCTCTACAAATTGAATTTGATGCTATAACCAATGATTTAAAGAGGATGATCAGGGAGAAAGCATCTGAATATAGCAGTGTGATGGCAAGAGGACCTCAGTGAGCTCCAGTTTAAAAAGAAAAAGAAAAGGAAAGAAGTTGGGGGCATCTAACCAAGGATGACTATCAGCAGGTGCACAGTACTGTCAGGGCAGCTGATGGTCCTATAAGAAGTGAAGCTGACCCAAACAAGATGCTCAGGGTCATAAAAGAGCAAGGAACATGACTTCTTGGTGCTGATGGCATAATATCAATATGTAGCAGAAAGATGGGAAATGGGGCAGATTAGGAGATTGGCTGGTGTCCTGGTGTGAAAAACCTTAAACTCTGTTGTTGCTGTTGATTTGTTATTAGTTGAATCTTACTCATCGCAGTCCCAAGCGGGCAGAGTGTAACTGCTCCTGAGGGTTTTCAGGGCTTGACCTGGAAGGAAATCATCAGATCTGTCTTCTAAGGGACTGTTAAAAAAACCAAATAAACTTATTTGTCAGGAACGGGAACCAACTCATAGCTGACCCTCTGTTGGGTTTCTAAAGCTAAAATTGCACAGGAGGAAATTGCCCATCTTTTTCCCACAGAGGTGCTGGTGGATTTGAACCATCAGAGAGGCACAGCCGTTGAGTTAGCAGCCAACTCCCTATGGACTACACCACCAGACCTCCTGCTAAGGTACCATTCGGTGGGATCTGATGGCTAGGTTTTTGGTGACTGGTTGAGCATTTAACCATTCCTACCGAAGAGAGATTTGCAAGATCTGTCAGGAACACTTAAAATTGAGCTACCTATTGAACCTCAGACCTCTGGTAAGTGGCTAGGGAGTTGTGCTTCCAAACTAAAGGAAAGTGGTTTGAATCCACCTGCTGCTTTGCAGAAGAAAGATGGACAAGTCTCTTCCTGTGTGATTTCTAGCCTGAAAAACTTGCTGCAGGATCAGATGTGAGTTAGTTCCAGCTCTACCACAATTGAACCTTGAGTGGAGCTGTTTCAGGATTGAGCCTAAAGTAGGGTTGGGAATCATCAGCATTCAGGTGGATTGATAGTAAAGCCAAAGCCCTGGGTGAAATAATTTGGAGAGTGAATGGAGATGGAGAGAAGGCAGAATGATCTCCCAGGCCTACCCAGCTTTAACAAAGCAGAACTGTTCATTTCTTAAAATTAAATGCAGTGATTACTTTTATTATCAAATTGGTGAAAATTGAAAGTAAAAACAGTCCCAATATGCTGACAAAAGGAGCCACTTAAAGAAAAAAGTACAACAATGAATGAATGAAAATCCAAAATCTCTGTAAATATTCATTAAAATAAAATAAAATTTTGAAAAAGGAGCCACTTAAACATAAAATTCACATGCATTGAATTAATAACCTAAATGTTCAGTGTTCACATGTCAGTTGTTCAGTGAACGAAACAAACAATATTCTTAGAAACAGCTGTAAAAATAATTCAGACATGCAGTAGAGGGAACCATTCCTAATGAATAGCAGTTCAGCATGCTGTGGACCAAGCACGAGTTCTTCCTCAACAGCTCATGTTGTTTGATTTAGACACCCTTGATTCTCCTCCATGTTCTGAGGCAGGTTTTAAAATGAACTTTTGCTCCTTGAGCAAACACTAGCCTGTGTTCTTCCTTCTTGTCACTGGGTTTAGATACAGGGTGGCAAAACTCTTAGAAAAGTCATATGTGCTGCCCCAGGAAAACAGACATGCACACAATTTTCAAACTGTTTTAGCAGTTTCATTCAAAACTCATTTCTGTGAGGTCAGTTCCAACTCATAATGACCCTTCATCTGGTTTCTAGGCTGTAAATCTTTATGGAAGGAAATAATCAATGGAACAGCTAGTGGTTTTGAATTGCTGACCAATTGCTAAGCGATTGCTGATTTGCAGCACAGCACATATATGATGCCACCAGCACCACTTAATAGGCTCAAGAGGCTCTTAGCTCACCCTTGAGCCCAGTGTTTAGGGCCCTCAGCTATGCTGATAGTTAGAACATGTGCCCGCTTGTCCTCTTCTGCATGATATCTTGGTCTACGTAGTCTCTGCACTAGATTCTCTGTCTCTCTGTGCCGCCATCCCTTTCCTGCTCACTGTCCTGGTCACTTCTGTAATAATGCTGACTCTCTTGAGGATTTTTTTTTCATATTTTATTTTGGTGAAAATATGTACATGTAAACATGTACCTGTTAAGTTCTTTATCCTTGCACAGTTCATTGTCAGAAGCTACAGATTTCACATCACTTGTCTGCACAAATTGTTTTCCCTGTCCTGAACATCTATATTTCAGAGTTACTGTGGCCCACATATTGCCATTCAGACAATTCTTTAAAAGGGAACAGTGTCACGGTGAACAGTCTTCATTCAGTGAGCTAGATTGTTGCTGACGTTTAAAGATGGCATCATGGGATCATACGGGTCAAGGCTTCAGAGTTGTCAGGTGCTCCTCTGGTCTCAGTGTATCCAGTAAATCTCGTTATCCTGGGGCCACTTATTTTCTTCTTCTTCTTTCCTTATTGTTGTGTGAGTGCAAATATAAAGAGCAAATGACTAACTCAGCAATTCGCATGCATTTTGTTTGATGACACTGGTTGCAGTCCTCTTAGTGTGACAGCACTCTCTGCTCCCTCTGCATTTCCAGTTTTCACTTGGCCTTCTCTTCTGTCCCTTCATGCCTTCTGGGGCCTTTTCTATAATTCTGGCCTCCTTGCAATGAGTCCCATTGAGGTGCCTTCAACTCCTCTTTGTTCGTAACCTCTTCTAAGGCCTTTGAGGTTAAACAATCAGATATTTCCCTTGCCCATCAGCTCAGGTGGTCAAGCAACAGTTCAGACCTTCCCTTTCACCATGTGTTGCTTGAAACATTCAATTGACTTCAAGTTTAAGAAAGGCCCAGGCCAGGTCAGAGCTGATGGAATCTGCCTTTTTGACATTAGCAAGGCAAACAAGCACTCCTGAGACTTTGTGTTGTCATTTCCCCCATCTTAGGTCTTTGCTATAATTGTAAAAAATATTGCCACATAATTAAAGTACTTTTGAAGAAAGAACCATTTCCTCTTCACTCTATCACCTAGCAATAAAATCTGGTGGCTTAGGTGTAAGGAGTTGCACTGTCAACTCAAAGCCACCTGGTTTGAAGCCACCAACTGCCGTGTGGGCAAAAGATGGGCACTTGCCTCCTGTATGATGTACAGGCTGTGAAATCCTAGTGGAGGGTCAGCTACAAGTTAGTTCCTACTTGACCGTTTATAATATTAATAATGCAGTAAATCCATTATCCTTTGTTCATTTGTTCTTTATTTTTATACATATGAATCTAGAACATTATTATAATCATTATTCATAAAATCATGTAATAGAAAATGTTTCCTTTTCCACATAAGAAACATAAACATTTTTCATTTTATAATACATACATCACATCTACAGTTATTTTTCATTCTGTAATACATACATCACATCTATAGTCATTTTTCATTTTGTAATACAGACATCACATCTATAGTTTGTAATGACTGCAATTATGCCCCTTAACTGTGTACATCATAATTCTTGATAATTGTTGCTTTTTGGCTTTCACCTGTAAGTTCTATTACAACTAAAAATACATGGCATTTAGATCTCATTGTATTTTTAAGAAATCTTAAATGGTGCTGCTGATGGATTAACATGAGAACATCTAGGTCTGTAGAAAGGGTGAAATCAGGTTGCTTCTTAGAGGCAAGGATTTTGAAGCTCCACCTCACACACTTTGGACATGTTGGGGAAGGACATCATGTATGGAAGGGCAGCTGGCTGATGCAGGAGAGGAAGACTGTGGATGAGATGGATTGACACAGTGACTGGGATAAAGGGGACAATGTGTCAGAGACTGTGAGATTGGCTCAGGATAGGGCAGGATTCAGAGATAGTGTGCATAGAGTCACTATGAGTTGCAAGTGACTCAACGGCACATAACAACAACAACAATGTGCATGTAAGAAATGTAGTGTAATGTACAATAGACCTGCTAGGGATAAGGGTGGTTTCTCTTTCTTTGAACATAGCAGTTCAAAATGGATTTGGGCTCACGGTGTGAGAAAACTTTCAAGTAAGAGAAGGAAGCACATGGTAGACTTTCTCCATTGTGCACCCAAGTTAAGTTGCATGCTGCTCAGTCGGCTCAGTTTCCTACCAATAAAACCCTCATGCCTTACAAACACTTCTTTACAATTAGCCCTTATGACTAAGGGCTGTGAGATGGTTGTAACTTAAGTGCTAAAGAAATATCTTCCTTCATATATAAAAGAAAAGCTTGGACAATAGAAGAGAATTTTACAGATGAAAGCCAAAAGGCAAAAATTATCAGTTTGTTCACCTCAATAAACAATAAGAACTGACAACAATGGACATCATTTATAGGCAGGAGACACTCAAAATATTTGAGAAAGCCATGGGCCAATAGGGAAGTAGGGAAGAATGGTTAGAATTCATCTTGATTGTTAATGGCTAAAGAGCCATCTAAACTTGAATCTGTAGGAACAGTGAGTATCATTTCACCTAAACACAACTGCTTTGATTAGGACTTTGAAGTTCTTAACAAGAAATCGTTAAAAATCAAGAGGCAGGAGGTTCCCTTCTGAGTATGTATCAGAAGAGGGTTTAACTGTGGGAAAGAAATACAGGGTGATACTCTCACAGAACCAGAATCTAGCCCTTGTTAGATACCTCTCTTAAGATTATTTATGTTCGGTGTGGTCAATGAATTTAACTGGCCAAATGGATCAGTAGAGGTATTAGGTCTGAATACATGTACCTCCACTAAGGTGTGTTAGACTAGTGAAAAATATTGCAACTCAAAATATAAAATTATATATACTTGGAATAACTCTAATCACAGCTTCTATTACATTTTATTGTACACTTTCCAAAGTACTTTTCCGACTTGTAAAAAAACTGCATAAAAGTCATAGACTCGGTTCAGTGTTAAAAAAAAATAGGATATTAAGTTGAGGATTGTGGATTTTTAACAGGCTACATGGGAAAGCGTTTGCCGTTGAGTTCTCTTATGAGAGAGGGAGACCAAGTCCCCTGGCCTCTCCCCTGAGAGGCCAGCGGGTGTGGCAGTCACATAAGGAGTATTTGGAAATGGAAGAAGCTGATATAACAGTGAGGACAAGCTATACCTTAGATTCCACAGTGTTCTTTGCACTGTGAGCTAGAATCTGAGAGTTTTTACCCTCCCTCAGATACAGAGGTATTTCCTGAAACAGCTGATAGATTCTTCACAACTCCACATTGAGCTTTCTGAGCTGGAAAGGGGAATTACCATTTTCCATTTGCTTTATCCAGCCGTGCCAGCATCCCTCACTGCCCAGTAGACATTGTTGGAAGCTGCCAGATTACTCAGTCTTCCTGTCCTCCAGCCGAAACAGTTATTGCTGCCTTTCCCTGGTTTGTATCATCTTGGCATGTGCCACTTTCTTTGCAGTGCGAACGTCGTTGGATGTGGGAACAGAAACAACCTGGGAAATAGAAATTACTGCTTGGATTCGCCCCGCCACAGACACTGGAGTGCTGCTAGCGCTAATGGGCCAGAACCAAACTGTTCCCCTATCGGTGGCCCTGGTTGACTACCACTCCACAAAGAAGCTCAAAAAACAGGTACGACCAGCTCCTTCTGCCCCTGAGTGTCGAGCCATTGAAACCTGTGGTCTCTTGAGAGACCAGTATGTGGCTTTTCACCCTGCCAGGATCACAGAACTCTCTCCCTCTACAGACTTAATCCCCAACCAAAAAACTCCAAGCAGTTAAGTGTTCACCTACTAACTGAGCAGCTGGTGATGTGAAGTTCCCCAGAAAGATCAGTGTGGTTTCCTAAAGTCCCCATTGTCTGCACACCAGAGTCAGAATTGACTCCACGGCAACTGGTTTGGTTGGTTTTTGTTTTTTAAAGTCTCTGGCCAGAAATGTAACCCAAATTTGGCACAGGATACTCCTGGCTTTGGGGGATATTGTTGGCCTGAGATCAGTTCAGCACAATTGCAAGTCAAAGGCACATGTCAATAGTCCAGAGGTTTGCAGCCAGCAGCACAGAAGCTAAAGTTGGCTCATGGTTATGGTAGGGTATCATTACTATTTTGTTAGTTATTCGTCATACAGGAGTGTCATCCACTTCTTAAACAACTTGCCTCTGGAAACTCTATGAACTTTCATAAATGTCCATAGTTGTAGAGTGTCTTCAGGCCTTTTGTTCAGAAGGTTGCTATGAGTCGTGCTTGACTTGAAGGCAATCAACAACAGCAAGAACATTTGTCATGCACAGTGTTGGCCAACCCAGTGGTTTAGAACAGTTCAGATTGATTGCTAATATTTGAAAGTCTGATAATTTTACAAATTCAAACCTGTAGTATATTTTGAAGGAGTTTGGTGTGGTAGAGCAAGTCCATAGAGAGGTGCACTGCTAGGCCAAAGGCTGTGTCCCTGGTGGTTCCACTTCACCAGTGACTCCTCTGTAAAGAGATGGGCCGGCCCCTCTTGTGCAGTTTACAGCCTCTGACATCAGTGGAGGGTCAGCTCTGAGTGAGTTCCTGAGTTCTGACTCAAAGGCAGTGAGAATAAATGAGTGACTTTCTCACATTGGCCTGTACTGGCTGGTGCCTTCACACAACACTATTCTTACATAGTGGACTCAACTTACCGGGTGAGCTGCGTGCAGCTGCCTCCTTTACACATAGCCTGCCCTTTCGACCTAACCGTCCCCACCACTCCCTGTTATGCCCTGACACTAAGCCATTGCTCTTTATTTTTTTATAGAAAAATTTGTAAAATAGAAACCCAAATCCACTGCTATTGAGTTGGTTCTAAATTTTTGTCGGAGGAGACTGCCTATTTTTCTCCTTATGAATGGTTGGTTGATTCAAATTGTCTCTTGATTAGCGTTCCACTTTATCATGCATCGTGCCACCAGGAGGGAGCTCTGGTGGCTTAAAGGTAAGAAGCTGAGCTTTTATACAGTTCAAACTCACCAGCTGCTGTACAAGAAAAAGATGAGCAGTCTCCTCCCATGTGACTTACTGCCTCTGAAAACCCATCGCAGGGCCAGCTGTGGGTCAGTTCTGACTTGGTACACAACATCATGCCACAAGGGGAGAGCTCTGCTGGCCTCGTGGTAAGGAGTTGAGCTGCAAGTCCAAAGGCAGGCAGATCAAATCCGCTAGCTGCTCCTCAGGAAGAGAGATGAGCAGTCGCCTTCCATGTGGTTTACAGTTCTCTGAAAACCCACTGGAGGGTCACCTGTGAGTTGGTTCTGACCTGACGGCACACCACAACAACAGCATGCCACCAGTGCTCCTTAGAATTAAAAAATGAAAATCTATTCTATTCTCTTGCCTCTGCCTAAAGTGGGAAAGCATGAGTTCACTCAGAGAGGTGTGTGTCATTATTTAGGATTATTTTTCAATCCCAAAGACTCAGCACTTGAAAAACATAAAGCCAAGTCCCTTGGTGTTGAGTTGACTCTGCCTCCTAGCAATCCTAGAGGACAGAATGGAACAACCCCGTTAGGACTGCCGATTGTGACCTGCAGAGGGGCAGACTGCAGCACCTCTCTCTCCCAGAGCTGCTGGTGGGTGTGAACCCGAGCAGTGAAGCACTAACCACTTAAGCAGCAGGGATCCTTGTATCATTACAAAGCAGTGGTGACAGCTTTCACTGAAGGGAGGAAGGTAAAGGGAAAGATGGGTGAGACTTCATGACCTGTCAGGAGCCATCATACCGCCCAGTGTCGACACCCAGGAGAGCCAGGCGGTGGGCCTGGGCTGCTTCTCTGGATGTTTGTATTTTGCTGCTAGACAGGCTGTCATTGCTGCTTGCTTTTAGCTGCTTCCTGGGACAGGATTCCTATAGACACTGAAGCAGTGTCCTGTGTCCCCTGTCCTGTAAACATTGTTGTTATGTGCTGTCAAGTCAGAGCCAGCTCATAGCTGACCCTCTGGTAGGTTTTCAGAGCCTGTAAATCACACAGGAGGAGATTGACCATCCTTCTCTCATGGAGTAGTTTGGTGATTCAAACCATGTGCCTTTGGCTTGGCAGTGCAACTCCTTACTCACTAGGCCACCAGAACTCCCTGACACTAACTTGTAATTACTTCACATCAGACGCCTGGACATTTGTGGGGTAGCTTTAGTGAGTGCATTCCGACTCCCAGCCATCCTAAGGGACAGAGCAGAACTTCCCTCTAGGATTTTCAGGGCTGTCAATCTTTACAGAAATAGATCACCTAACTTTTTTCCTGCAGAGTAGTAGCTTGTAGGTTTGAACTACCAACCTTTCAGTTAGCCACCAACAACTTTATCCACTGTTCCACCAGGGCTCCTGTTTGGGTGGCTAGAATGTGTGATACTAGCCCTCAGATGACATCCATTTTTTCACTCAATCATTTTCAGGTTTGGAAGGGACTGTGGGAACTTTCCAACCAGTCTCTTTTTTGCACATTAAAAAACTTGACTCCACAGAGGTGGAACATCTTAACCACAATCCACAAGCTGCAAAACCAAGACTCAACCCCAGGTCGCCTGAGTCCCAGACACACAATGCAGGGCTTCAAGAAACGCCCCTGACCAAAGAAAATGTGTAGTTTGTAAGAAACAAGGGCCTCTTTAGGACACCAGTGTTAACCCAAAATGCAAAATCTCCATCTGTGCAGTTTGCAGTGATGGTTTTGTGACATGACCCGTAAATTGTCTCTCTGGACTCGTTTCGCCCCCTGCGTACTAAGACTTGTGTCTTGGCCCTGCAGCTGATCGTCCTGGCCATTGAGAACGTCGCCTTGTCACTGATGGAAATCAAGGTCTGCGACAACCAGGAGCATGTAGTGAAGGTGTCTGTGAAGGAGGGAGAGGCAATGCTGGAGGTAGATGACACCAAGGGCCAGAGCGAGGTGAGCCCCAGCCAGCTGCAGGAGAGGCTGGCCGTCCTGAAGAGGCACCTGCAGAGCTCCGTGCACACGTTCGTTGGGGGACTCCCAGGTAGGGCCCGTGCGGCTGTACCCTTCGGAGGTGAGTGAGATCGGTGACAGCGTACCCCTCTGTCATCACTGTCACTATCACCAGTGTGTATATCCTCATATCAACAGACTGAAGTGGGCATTTCTCATAGTAGCTATTGAAAATAAAGGACTGCACTTTTTTTTTAAAGAGGAAGAGAAAACACAAGTACTTCTATTAGCAGACCATTGCAATGTCCCAGTGTTTGTCAGCAGGGACTTTAGCTGAGGCTGACAAAATGAATTACTGGGATCCTAATTCGTTAACTTGTAGTTTGACTCTAGTTTACTATCCTTTCCACTTTGAGGAATATCCATCTGACAGTGCCCACCCGCCCCCACACACACACCCACCAGGTATTTTTATTTTGACCAAGGCAGTAAGTAGTTCAGCAGAGGCTAAGCAGATCTGAATGATGCCAGAGATGAGTTGTTGAGGCAGAGGTCAGACTTAACCCTTCTTGTGTGGTGCTACCACTCCGAACAGCTCACAAGGGGACCACCAGCCTCTCTCACGTCCAGCATGGCTCTGCTGGCTTACATGGGGCCAAGGGAGCAGACTTTCATCCTTTATTTAAGAATGGGCTTGTCCATGGCCCCGAGCCGCCTGATCAGGGTAAAATGGTGAGAGAGGCAGAACAGAGCCAGGTGCTTATGTAAGTCCTGGTTTCCCCTCACTGGGCAGCACAGGTCTTTACTTGCAGCGAGTGGCAGAGGACTGGGGATTTCAGGCTTGGCTCGAAGACACAAACTTCATTTAGTTTTCATAAACAAAGCTTTGAAGAGGATGAGATCAAGCTGGGAAGCCCTGCAGCATGAATGACTCATGTTGGGCCAATAAGAAGATAATATTTATTTAATTGATTTGGCTATCTGGGTGTACTTCCTAGGAGGGAGGGGAGTGGGGAGAGAGAGAGTGGTTTTGCCAGAAACTGGACTGGCAGAGGCTTGGTGCTTGCTTGCCAGGGTGCTTAGCCAAACCAGGCATGGTGATGTTCTAGATGGAAAGGCAATCAACGCCTCTCGAAGACAAATGCCAGGAACCAAGGAGGAACCAAAAGATTGGCCGAGGAGCCTTGCTGTGGTGTGAATACAAACGAGGGAGGGCTGAGAAGGAGAATGCTACACGTTGCATGTTGGAAATAATCAAAGGGGTGTGAGGGCCACGTTTTTTTCCAGATAGCATGGGCTGCTAAAGATGTTTTTTTAATTCTTTCCCCACTGACCCAGATGTTCCCGTGACTTCAGCGCCAGTCACAGCTTTCTACCACGGCTGCATGACTCTGGAGGTCAACCAGAAGGTTCTGGACTTGGACGAAGCCGTGTACAAACACAGTGATATCACGTCACACTCCTGTCCTCCCACTAAGCACAGCACGCCATAGGCTCTGCGGCTGTTTCAGCATCAGAAACTTTTCAGGCTTTTATTTTAAGAGCAACAAGAAGAAAACAGGGAGGATAAAACTTATTCCAACTCCCCTGCACTGCGTGTATCGTTTCTTTAAAAACACTGAAGAGAGTAGGAGCTGCTGATCATCACACGTTGAGTTTATCTTTGAAATATTCATTTGCCTTGTAATATATGTGTAAATAGTGGAGAAAACTAATATTAATGATCTGAAACCACACACTCAAACTCCCAAGTGTCCTGAAGTGAGAGCCGAGTCTGTACAAAGGGAATCAGAGCTTGGAAGATGGGAGACTGATTACATATCAAAGTAGACTTGAAGAAAATAATTCTCTATTATTTTTTATTACCAGATGCTTCTTTCTGACTTAAGAAATATGGGAAAATAAAATATTTACAGAAAACTTTGTAACTCTGCGTCAAAAGCTGATTATTCCCCTGTGGCGTTTTTTTTTTTCTTTTTTTTTTTTTTAAGTAGTGATTTGCAGCTTTCAGGGTGAAAGGACATGGAAGATAGAATGGATGCAGTGTTTTTGCAGCTGAAGGATGTCTTTGTGTTCCAGTTCGTAACGACACTAAGAACTCCGTCCTGCTGAATGTTGAGTTGAAAGGGTGCTGAGTGACTGTCTATATGGTAGCGAGCATTTTCTGTCCCCGTGGTGGTGGCAGCAGGGAGACCAGAGTCACTTGGCCCTGGTTCTCACGTCAGCTGGAGCTGATTAACTACGTAACCTTGAGTGTTGGTAAGCTTGGTCTGGCTCACTTGGTAAATGATAGTCAATACGTGCTTTTTACAATCAGCACACATGTGTCCTTTCTGAAGCTTCTGTGCAGAGAAACTAAGATGAGGAAGATAAAGCCCTTGACCTACTTTTGGTCAGCAAGAGTTTGTTGTTGTTATTGTTGTATTGAGTATCACAGGTCAATTTAAAACTCATTTTGACCCCACGTGACAAAGGAGAGCTGCCCCATAAGATTTTCCAGCTCAAATTGTTCTCTTATGGAATTACTGGGTATGTTTGAACAAATCACCTTTTGGTTAGCACCGAAGCACATAACCACTGTGCTATTTATTAGGACTCCTGATGGGAGTTTGTTATGGGCCACTGAGTCAGAACTGGATCTTCCAGTGGGTTTCTAGAGGCTGTAAATCACACGAGAGGAGATGGCCCATCTTTCTTCTCAGGAGCAATGTGAATTTGAACCACTTGCCTTTAGATTGGCAGCACATCTCTTTACCCACTAGGCCATGAAAGCATAGGACATAGAAATAGAATGAATCATACTGGTCTAGGCACTGTGGGCCACTGAGAAGTTAAACAGAATAAACAACAACCAGAGAGCTCACTTGGCCTAGTGGACAGAAAGTTATGCTACCAAGCCAAAGGTGGGTGGTTTTAATCCACCACCCTCAAGCCTGGTTTTAATTGGTAAATGGTATAGCACTGGTCTGTGCATTGCTGTACAGAGGTAACTGTGGTTGCTGTGATCCTGAACACTGTGACACTGATGTGTCAAATGTGATACTGGTTACCCATGGTGGACAGTGTTTGGTGGAGCTCCCGATTAAAACAAACTCAGAAGCAGGAGTGACATCCACTTCTGAAATAGCTTGCCTGTGTTCTGTCTCCATACCTTTTCAATCTGTATGCAGAAGAGATCATCCGAGACGCTGGGCTGTACGAAGGGGAATGTGGCATCAGGATTGGTGGAAGAGTCATCAATAACCTGCGTTATGCAGATGACACCACCCTGCTTGCTGAAACTGAGGAGGACCTGAAACACTTGTTGCAGGTCAAGGACTGCAGCCTCCTATATGGATTGAAGCTCAACATCAAGAAAACAAAAATTCTCATCACTGGGCCAACTGGCAGCATCAGTATGGATGGTGAAGAGAATGAGATAGTTAACAGTTTTAGTTTACTTGGCTCCACACTCAACACTCTTGGTAACAGCAGCCAGGAAATCAAGAGACGAATTGCATTGGGAAAGTTGGCTGTGAGGGACCACTCAAGAGTACTGAAGAGCAACAATGTCAAGCTGAGACTGAGCTGTGCCTGATCCGGGCTATAGTCTTCACAGGGACTAGGGTTGATAGAAAAAGAATTGATGCCTTTCAGCTTTGGTGCTGGAGACAAGTGTTGAATATACCATGGACTGCTAGAAGAACAAACAGGTTTGTCCTGGAGAAGGTGAAGCCGGAAAGCTCCTTGGAGTCAAGGATTCTGAAGCTTCGTCTGACATACTTTAGGCATGTTGCAAGGAGGGACTGGTCCTTGGAGAGGGACATCATGTTTGGCAGAGTGGAGGGGCGGCAAAGGAGAGGAAGACCTTCAATGAGATGGATCGATTCTGTGACTGGACTGGTAGGAATAAGTGTGTTTGAGATGGCTGGATTGGCACAGGATAGAAGAGCATATAGAGCTTTTGTACATAGGGTCACTATGAGTCACAAATGACTCGATGGCACATAGCAACAACACCCAGAGACCCTATGAACATGGAGAAAGGATGAAAGTTAATCAGGTGTTCAGGTCTTTCGTTAATAGGGTAGCTGTGAGTCGCCTACAACTCAATGGCATTTAACAACAGCAACAATGTGGAGTTAGCACCTGGCATATGTTTACATAATCCTGGTTTCCCCTCTCCATTTGCTTCTGGACCTCACCTCATATTTTCTCTATTTATAAAGAAAGGGTATTGGGCTACTAATAAAAAAATGGCAGTTCCAACCGACTCATAGGCACCCCAGAATAAAGGTCACAGCCACTATGGAGGGGTTGTACTTTACACGTATAAAATCACCATAATACATAGACAGACTTGTGAACACTGGTTGGTTGGTGGTTTGGGTTTAGAAGAGAAAACCCTCTTCCTCAATGCCAGAGGCTGTTGAGCTGCAGTGCCATCTGATCTGACGGTTCACAGAATCTGGAAACCTCACTTCTGCTCTCAGCTTTCCCACTGGAAAAGTTGTTTTCTTTGTAAACCTTACTTCCTCATCTGCAAATGAGGGGGTCAGGGTAGAAAATGACTTAGTGCTCTTTGACTCCAAAAGGCTTTAATTTCCAAAGAAATGACTATGATCACAATGACAAAACTATTGTAAGCCAACTGTATTAAAATTATAATTGGGAAATAAAGTTCTTTGCATCCTAGGGACACATCCCTCGGGTCATCAAGAACCACAAACAACAGAAGTTACAAAAGGGCCTTTGAGTAGAAGCAGCTGCTCTTAGTTGGTCCCAAGGGGAAGCCTAAATCCAGTGGTTTGAAACTACAATAGGTGATTTAAGCGAGTTCTGTGCAAAGACCATACAGAGAGGAATGGCAGCCTGACTGTCCAGTGTGTATCCGTAGCTGCATGGCTCTAAGCAGAGACTGAAAACACACTTGGTGGGTCTCAGAGAAGATACCAGCATCTGGTCAGGCTTGACTAGATGAATGAAGATTCCTTGAAGACTGAGATTTTATTCTTTTCCACAAAACTCCCAAGAATATTCTGAAGAAGTCTACATATAAGATTACAGTGGTTCACTTTTAAAAAAATTTTATTTATTTTGTTCACTTTTAGATCTTGCTTCACAAACCAGAGTAAAATGGTCCACAGCTCCCATCATTTCACTACAAAAGTTAGGGAATTAATTTCTAAAAGCTGCATCAAAAGGGAACAGCGTTGGACAATCTTGAGTTCTGGTAGAATTCATACAGAGAGAAGCAGAATGGAAAAGGAGGTAAAGAAATCCCTAAACCCATTTACTAGCTACATACGAGGCACCACATTGCAATTCTGTTTACTGTACTTTGTGGATAATGGGGTGGTTGTTGTTGTTGTTATTGTTGGGGGGTTTTTTAAAGCTGGACATTTGTGGCAACCTTGCATGGGGCAAATCTACCAGCACCATTTTCCAGGAACGCATGCATGCTTCATGACTTTCACATTTCAGTAATCTTACACTTTCACATTTTCATAATGCCATTGTATGTATACATGTTGTTATTGTTATGTACCATCAAGTCAGAACCAACCCATAGCTGACCGTCAGGTTTTCAGAGGCAGTAAATTGCATGGGAAGGAAATTGCCCATCTTTCTCCCACAGAGCAGTGAGTGGATTTGAATCACGTGCCTTTGGATTGCTCTCCCCACCCAGCTTCTTACTACTAGACACATGTTAGACTATAGTATCAACATGATTTCCATGTGTAACCACACACTCATTGCTGAGGAATCAGAAATGACTCCTAGCTGGCCCTCCAGTGGGTTTTCAGAGTCTATAAATCACAGGAGACTGCCCAACTTTCTCCTGAAGAGCAGCTGGTAGATTCGAACTGCCTGCCTTTGGGTTGGCAGCACAAGTCTACCCACTAGGCCACCAGAGCTCCACCTTACGTGCACTAGGAAACAACAACAACAAAAGGGGAGTCACGTAATTAATTGCAGTATTCACTTTATTGACATGATCTAGAACTGAATCCTCAATATTGCAGTTGTAATAAATTTTGGCTACAGCTAAGATTAAGAGAACACTCTCTGCATGCCTAGGAAAGAGGGTCATTTGCTATAAGGAATACCACAAAAGTCACCAGGAAATCACTAAATAGGATAAATCCATCCTGAATGGACTTTAGACTCATAGAGCCAGACTGTTGATGCTGTTATTTGCTGTCGAGTCAGAACTGAACCAGAGCTGACCCTCTGGCTAGTTGGCAGAGGCTGCAGATCACACAGGAGGAGATTGCCCATCCTCCCACAGGGCAGCTGGTAGATTTGAACCACATGCCTTTACGATTGCAGCACAATTTCTAACCACTAGGCCACCAGAGCTTCCCTCCTCCACCTCACAACTGTTACACACTTTATAGTGGGTGGGAACCTTCTCAGACTGTACTTACTGTTACCTTCGGTCTATAAGCCGCTGACTCAGAGTGACCTCAAGCGTGGTCAAATGTGGTCCCTTTTAGCACTGTCACCACCA